TTCCTGTTCGGGACCAACGGAAACACGCACATGCGCGCGCGCATTCGTGTATAATGTGTAGAACGTCGAGGTGAACAATACAGATTATTCGACCATATAATCTACGGTAAAATTCTTTTACGATAATCCGCTCTTTAAACAGCTTGTAACAGATTTTGTTTTTCTTTTATATGTATGTATATACATGCGTGCGTATATTTATATCAGAATACCCGTCTGTTTGAAGGGAAAACCTGTAACCGCAGTCTCACGCGATAGTACACATCTTATGTGTGGAAAAAATGCAACGATCATCGCATGACGAAGCGATGAATCGTAACCGTCTCGGTGTTTCCGTTTACGAAGTTCATACGATCGAACATAGTCAAGGTGAACTAGTTGTCGTATCGCGCTATCCGCTTAATCCGGAGACCAGTCTACGCGATCGACTACGCGTCGTTTCGATGCTCTCGGATTGCCACTCGTTCCAACGCCTTATAAGCATAACCTCGAAATCCACTACTATCTTTCAACCGTCTCTCCTTCACGCCCTTCTACTTCTTCCGGCTTTTCCTCGTTGAAACGCATCGCATCCCGTTCGCATCCTGTTCGCATCCTGTTCGCATCCTGCCTTGTCTCGTCGTGTCCACAATTGCCTCGCTCGACTGGCCGATGTCATCGTATTCCGAATCCGGTTTAAAATCTAATCGACGAATGTTCGCCACACGCAACGATACGTCTATCACCGAGATCGTAAAGTCTGCGCGATTTTCCGACAATTCGCTCGCTTCTTAAGTACTTACATATAAAATGTACGTATAGGAAATGTAATTAGCTCGACGCGTTCGTACATTTCCAAATTCGCTTTACTCTCTATTTAGCACAGCGCAGCGTCCCCTCGTTACGCGTCTAGTAGTTCTGTGAAAGTAAAACCCCGATTAATCGAAAAGGATACCGAACGAGTTATCGTCGGTGAACGAATAACTACAGCGTTCCTACTATCGGCAGCAATGAAATAACATGAAAAGCATTGCCGATTTATCTTCCGTCGGTTCTATCGTATTATTTCGCGCCATCTCCCACGATATATCCCGCGCATTCTCCGCCATTACCAACGAGAACTTTGCAACGCGCCACCTCTACCTAATAATCTTTCCTTCTTCGCTCGCAAACGTTATCCATCTTTTTCTCTCCTTTCTCTTTCGTTTCGTCTCTACGTCAACGACACTTTCACACGTAACTAGACAGCGAGGGAAATAATCACGGGATAAAAGGAACAACTATAGTTGCTAAACAGTCCCGACGTTATATGGCACTAAAAACGAAGGTATCATTTTACGAAGAAAAAGAATAAACTTACGCTACCACACCTGTTCCTTCTCCTCCTCTTATTCTCCAACGTTTCTCCTTTTCAACGGCACCTCGAAAAAGCTGAGAAATTTTTCCGATAAAACTACTCCCTTGCGCGGTGAACAGAGCTGACGTGCATTCCTCGACGATCGCTGAGCGAGCGAGCGAGCGAGAGAGAGAGAGTGTGTGAATGTGTGTATGCGTGTGTGAAAGAGAGAGCGAGAGATGACGAGAAGGATGGAGAACAACATTCTTGATTCGCTCTCACGCGATGTGTGAACTAATGCAGCGCGGCAAGAGGACTACGAGGAGAAACAAACACGGATAGAGTACTTGTTTTACGCGTGTAGGAAAGCAGAGGCGACGCAGGTTAACGTAGCGTGTGTACAAGTGTTTTGCTCGGTCGATTTTGCCGGAATATACATAAGTCGAACGAGGACAGGAAGCCGATCAAACGTTTCGCGTTTCGTGTTCGATTCGTCAACCTCTCCCCTCGGCCGCTTATTTCCAACTATCCGTCGTCGTATTCCCCACCTCTTTTATAATTAGCTTATTTGCATCCTTGCCACTGACGCTTCGTTTCCCTAATTTGCTTCTAGCACACGATGACCGTTACCGTGACACTGAAACGAATATTGCAAACTTTGATCCCGAAACGCTCGAATATTACGAATAATAATGTTTCGTAGAAATAGAGATAAAGATAGAGATAGAGAGAGAGAGAGAAAGAGAGATGGAGTACACCTCTGCGACATAGCTAATACAAAAATACTGTTCTGTTGCACCATTTCTTCTCCTATTATTCCTATTATTTTTATGCATAGTAATCCCTGTAGTCTTTCAAAACACTCCTTTATCGCTGTCAAGGTGACAGAAGAAAAAGAAAAAGAAAAAGAAAAGAGAAAAAAAAGAACGAAAATAACGTACACGGCATGATGTAATCCGATAAGAGTATCTTCTTCTAATAGCCACTGTCATCTTTCCTTTCTGGAATTCTTTTCTTTTCTTTTTTTTTTTTTTTTTTTTTTTTTTTTTTTTTACAACTTTTACTCTTTCTTCCTTCGGATTTGTCGCTTCTCCTCGAAAGAAAAATATCTCACAAACATAATGAGAACGCATAAAACCGTACAACCGGTTCAACAAAGACCTCGGTGCTCCGAGAATCGTTAGACGAAGAAAAAGAAACTATGAAACAGCGTCCCTGTTTGGAAGAGAATATGTTCCGATGATGAGAAAATCAGCCTCCTCGTACGTATACGAACCGCGTACTAGAGCTGCGCATAAGAGTTGCGTACAAGAGCTGCGTACAAGAACTGCGCACAAGAACTGCTTACACTCGTGACGCGCACATTACGCTCCTTTGCTTTCTGTCTCGCAACTTTCGGTAATCGCGACGACCATGCATCTTTTCGCGGAATGTTCATTTCGCGAAGCCGTTATAACGTATCACATATCCAGAAGAGAAAACTATTACGACGGCGACAAGCCAATCGTCACTGACCGCTGATATTTTCCGCGGAAACATCGTAGAACGTTACCAGTTATGATATACACGAACAATCGCATTCAACCAACTATTACTTCTTTATCCCTCTTCTCCGTTTTTCTTTTCCTCTGTCTTTCTTTCTCGTATCTACTCGTTTCTGCAGCCTTTTCCGATGATAATAATAATAATAATTACAATTCGGCACCGCGCGATAAGGATTTCGTCTGGTGAAAGAAAAAAATCCTACCGGCGCCAAGTCATCCGTTATTTGCTACGATTATTAATTGTACAATTATGTATGTATGTATCTATGTGTACACATATACACATACACACATATATATGTATAGTATATATGTATAGTATATACTCAGCATCACAGTAAGATAGCGCCCTTCATTATTTTAAGTGATCGTCGATCTACTCGGACTGTTTACATTCATTCCAGTTAACAACATACGCTACAACAATCCGTTTAAACGTCGTCCAATAATTTCTTTTAACATCGACATCGTAATTACTCTTACAGTATTCGATTCGTATCATGTTCGTAAAAGTACACCTGTACACAGGGACAGAAACGATGAAGGAGTAAAATCGTGGAAAGATACTGTGCTCGATAAAAGCGATTAATTAATCACTCTCGTCTAGTACCGCGCGAACGTACCAGCGTGATCGATCATTTTACGAAATACCGTCACCCAGATTGAAGGAAGAGAGGAAGGAAGGAAGGAAAGTAAGAGAGAAAAAAAAGAAAAAAAAGAAAGAAAAAAGAAAGAAAAATAAAAGCGATAAAGCGGACACGATGTGATTTTCGTAATTGAAAACGAACGCGAAATATACGCCGAGGGAAATCAACTGCCGACAACAGCCTCCTCCTTCGACGTTTGATACACGCGTAAACGAGTGACGCATGCTTATCTTGGAAGAAAGAAATTATTTGTACGTTACATGACGCCGAAGAAAACACTGAGGAACTTCATACGTAACGGATACGTATCGTTTCCCATTTCGCGATCCAACTTAAACGAGCTATCGTATCTCGTTCCATATACTGTGAAACACACGATACGGACGAAATACCGTCCAATACTGTGTACTATGTTTCGGTGGACTGTCTAACGTATGCTCTGTTCTATCTATCAAGTGGCAAAAGAATAGTTCTAATAGTAGATACTTATAATTACTCTGAAAATAAATAGTTATAAAAATAAGCGAGCATTTTATGCTTAAAATACCTTAAGTAAAAACTTAATTAGTTTGCACCACGTACGGAGTGGAATGTGTGGTCTCTCTTACTAGATCGTAAAAGCGTACGTCTAACAAAAGGTTTAACTACCGTGTAAAAAACATTAACGACAACTTGTTAGTTGTAATTCGAAGTGCGACAGTTCGATAAAAACACGTGGGTCAATAAATAAGGGTGCAACAAGAGATTAGAAATAGGATAAAAGACGAGATCAAAATTGATCGATTCGTCGATAATCGTCGTTACTCGTCGTAGAATAAATAACTGTGCTGAGAATCTGATCTCCCCGCGAAGATACATTAGGTACATTGTTCGATTCGTCTTTCTATTTCTGCCCAATCACAAACTCTGGCCCCACCCCTCTTTCCAACTCATCCACTCGCCCACTCACCTATCCATCCCTTTATCCACCAATCCATACATTACTCCATCCAACCATTCATACACCCATCCACCCATCCACCCATCCACCCATCCACCCATCCACCCATCCACCCATCCATCAATCCATCCATCCATCAATCCATCCATCCATCCATCCATCCATGCATCCATCCATCCATCCAACCATCCATTCATTCATTCATTCATTCATTCATTCATGCATTCGCTTATTCAGTTCAGTTCATCTATCCACTCAAGCTTCCTTTCTTCATTTCTACTACCCTATCATCCCCCTCCCTCCCGACTTTCCCTGACACATATATAATTCACAGCTCTATGCACTGTGGAAGAGAAAAGACATTTTTACACGTAAATATATTTTCATCGCGAAAATGCGAAACGCAAGCACTCACGATTTCGATATTTAACTTAAAACCGAGAAAACCTTTTTGTACTCTTCTATAAACTTTTTCGCATCTACTCTTTACTTATATCTAATGACGACAATAAGTCCCGAGGAGCACGCGAACGTACTTCGTGAGGATTCACGCAATATTCAAGCGTCGAAATCGTTCCGCGAAACGAAAACATACGGGACACAGAATTCAAACAAAACGGCACAAATTCGTCATCACTATCGTTTGCTTCTCGACGAATCGTTGGAAACGCGAGAAGTTCGGGTCATAAATTCACTCGAACAGAAAGAAACCGTGAGCGAAAATTGAGATTCCAATAACACATGGAATACACTTTTGTACGTTCCACGCACTCGCTCGCCAAGGACCGTTACCGACCAAAACGAATCCTGTGGCACTATATACTCTTACCTCAGTACTTTACGATACCGAAACGCCGGTCAAAAATCTTATACTATTCGCGACGTGTCCTTTTTGGACGCTGACTAACTCCAACTTCGTCGGTACCACGCGACTTTTTACCGATTTGTACCTGACTCTGTGCGGTTAGCTGCAACGAAATTGCATGCGTATTTAATTTTTCAGCCAGTAGCAGGTCCTTCAGACCCTTCATCTTCTGACTGTACAACGTTATCCTTGGTCTCTCATGCTCCGAGTCGGTCTCTACCTCGGGATCAAGGTTCTCCTGAGAAGTGGAGGGTGCAGGAGGCAAAGCGTCGTCTGACGGTGCAACAAATGGTTCTCCGCCACCTTGCAGTAGGTAATCTCTGTTAAGTATCTTTTCGCTACATGCTGCTGTCAATGCTTGAATACTAGGATGCATCGGTGCTGGATTAGACGGTACTTTAGATTCTAAGCTTTTGATCAGATCGCGCGCCGCGTTGCCCCTCTCTTTAGTCTTACAATAATTGTTGTTATTATTATTCAACGTTTCTTCCGGACTCGTTTCCCTCTTCTGCGATTTCTCCTCCTCCTGTTTCGCCTCCACGTCGTAACAATCGATAATTACCTGAGCGCGAATACTGGCATCGAACTTTGAAATAGTGTTTACCAACGGTCGTGCCCATCCAATGTGTAAAACAGGTGTATTCGCTCCTTCCTCCCACTGACAGATACCGTCGTAAAACCTCAACAAATAAGCGAAACAACGCGGCTGTCGCAACAAACGTTCGTCAGCTCGTACCGTATGAGGTATAAGCTCGTTCGCTATTTCCAACAATTCTTTATATATCTCTCCGTCGTCTCTCGAATAATCATACCTATTGGGAATTTGAAGTCAATCAATGACAAATCTCATAATTTATCGAATTTTATCGACTCGTACTTACTTTCTTAAAACGTCTGCCGCGTCAGCCCATGATGCCAACGCGTTGGCGTGCAATCCGTGTCTGTACAAATAACCGCCCTGATAAGTATACGGATACACATGAGCATTTCCATAATATTTCCTCGCCGATCGTATAGCTTCCTGAAAACGTTGACAAATCGAGTAACGCGAAACGAATAAGCAAGTTATCTATTTGTGAGTAAGTAAGTTACGGTATTTATGTGAAATACCTGAAAGAGATCAATGGCAGGTGGTCTGCCTGGAGTTGGCGCTGCTTCTTCGAGATCTCCCAAATTACCAAGAGCCATAGGATATTTAGCGAGATGACCCAAATCGTACAACAACCATAACAATTCTTGTTGAAGCAATGCCACTTCGGCTGCATCTGCAGTTGCGCTTAAACTAGGATTTATAGCAGACACGATAGTAGCAACCTCCATTGCTCTAGAGCACACAACGGCTTGTCCATTGACATATAACCATGATCGGGAGGCCACTCCTGGTTCCACAGGTTGGCCACGTTTATCCTCGTTTCCCTTTCCTAGTAACACACGTAGAATCAAGAGTTTTCTTATTTGTAGATAAATTTGAAATGCCCAACTCTTTGGACAGCGCTTACCATGCCAAGTAACTTCTGCAGTTTCGGTTCCATCTTCTCCATAAACTACCCAGGCATGATCTTCTGACATAGCGAGATGAACATCTTTAAATCCCAGTACCTGACAGCCGGCAACCACGGCAAAAGCCACGCCAAAACAATCCAATTTATTCGCTGTGAGGTAGCTATAGAGACTTTGTAAATGCGCGCGATCTTTGTAATAACTTCTAGTAAGAGAGTTCCATATTACGTCGGAAACTTTCTTGACGAGCTCTCGGGTCGCGTATTTCGTGTCGTAAACCGTAAGATCAACCGCGCCCTTAATCACTGCATGGAACTTGGTATAAAGGGCTTCGGCAATGTGAAACTCAACGGCCGGCAATTTCGGCTCATCATAAACAGTGGTCTCTTGCGACGCAAATGTCCGATTGCAGGTTAGGGAATTCTCTACTGCGCCGACAAGAATCGAGAGCAAAGCTAAATCTGGTTCCGAGCTGTTTTCCAACTGATTTTGGAAGATCCGTACGATCGAGGAGATACTCTGGATAGGAAATAGAGCCTTATCCTCGTCTCGAAAACCCGCCATGTCGCGACTGGCAGGCTGCACACACGAGATCGAGATCTTTGCTCAAACCACGAGTGTCATCCTATTTCGTGTTTATCTTGACAGAAACCTTCAACGAAATCACGCGATCTGTTTGACCTCCACTTCCTTGACTAACGACGTACGCTAGTCAATGTCGATTTTCTAATTCTCAATGCGAAACTTTTACATTTCCGTACCACAAAATGCACCACAACCGTGTATCACCCAGCGGCGCGCCGCCACTAGGATCGTTTCCAACGAAACTTTCGTTCTACCATTCGACAAAGCGAGAAGGCAAGTTTCTGTGAGAGCGACGTAAGCCTGACGTACAGTACACAGTTCCGGACGCGCGCATTTTACGTTCTAGAATTTTCCACAGTATCTATATAAATTTCAACGCTTTAAACATACATTTGTCTATATACTTTTCATGACATTCGGTTGCTTTCAATTTTAATTTCTTTCATCTTTCAATATTTACTTATATGGTAAGCATATAAAAATTTTAAGGATACTAGAATTCGTACACCGGCTACGATTTCATAGATATAAAAGTTTCCATATACGACGATAGATTTACATTAGAATTGTATGGTACGCCATCTAATTGATATCTATATCTATATCTATATATAT